TTTTTTTACTCATTTTGCGAGCTCCGGTGTTTGTTTTTAGCCTAATTGGTCGCGTTACGGAGAAGCGTGGCTTGACGTGTGTCAAGCTGGACACAGACGGATGTAACGGAGAATCCGGTAAGTTTTCAAAATAAAACATCTTTCGTATTCCGAAATAAATAAAACGGAATTAAGGCAAGTTCTTTCTGTGCGGCCCGGTACCAAATGTCCGGCGGACCGGTACCGGTCCGCGGGCCGGCGGTTGGGGACCCCCTGCTCTAAGAGACAGGAAGGGAGGGGGCCATATGTGCAGAACGCTCCATATCCCGTTGACACTTTTTTTTTTTTTTTTTTTTTTTTTTTTAGCTCCTTCGACACTCCACCCTTTGGTGACATCGGTGACAAAGATGGGTGCCCTGATGAAACTAAACTGTGGTATTGGTTCTGTCCAAACATATCACCGGGAACAGCGCGCCAGTGTAAAATCTCTCTCAGGGAGATTTAGTGCCTGCCAAACGTTGAGTTTTGAGGAATGTCACCCCACAGTGAGAAATAGGGAGGGGGAGAGGGGGGGGGTGTACAGACAGGGACATCTGTACTGTCCTACTAAATAAGATGAGACTTGACAAGGGGATGTTTTGTTTTTGATTTTTAGTTGATCAAAGCTTGTTTGATATTCTCTGCCCTGAGACTTTCAGCGGAGTTCCAAATGAAACTACAAACGCTAAGAACCTAAGCGCTTAGGATTTTGGGGATGTTTGCTGGTTCAAGTCCCATTGCAGACCAAAGTGTGGAAAAAGAGGCTTGTTGGAACATGTCCAACCCACCGCCTCGATAATGTGTCCCTGGTACGTGACCAGAAGATCCTAGGAGTATTTTTGTACTCATTTTACAGAGGGGGAGATGTGGCAGTGATCTCCCAAATTCAGGCTGTCTTTGACTTTTGTACTCTGTTTTTAAATGTCTTTACCGCTTTACTCTTAAACATTATATTCAATACATAGCAGTGACTCAATTATGGACTTAAGTATGGAGAGCTGGCATTTTATTACAAATGTTTGAGGTTCTCCACTTTGGCCAATAGATGGCACTATGGGGAAAAATCTTTATGATGCTTATTTTATAGCTAATACAGAACCCAGCCGCTGGGGAGCAGTGCCCTCCCCTGGGGGTGCACTGTTCCCCAGTGCCGGTCCCAAGCCCGGAGAAATGGGGAGGGTTGCGTCAGGAAGGGCATCCGGCGTAAAACTTTTGCCAAGACGACCATGCGAGTTGGTAGGACGGTTTACAGGGGCGGACGGAAATTACTGACTCGCTGTGGCGACCCCTGAATAGGGACGGGCCGAAAGGAGAAGAAGAAGAAGAAGATTTTATAGCTAATACAGAGTAGCAATTCAACTGTGAAAAGAATATTATATATTTTCCTCAAAATTCTTCATAATCCTTTTAAGGCGCTTTTTTTTTTGTGTGTGTGTCTCTCAAAATTTGTCAGCCAATTCTACCTGTTCTTTCTCTCCTGTGTAGGGCACAAGAATCTTCCCAAGAGGATTGATGCAGAGGCCCATAAGAATGACTAGGTTTAGCAAATTCTTCCTAGCAACTAATAACACTGCAAACAATGCTTGTAATGTTACCTAATATTTTTTTAACCTTTAAAACATCACTGGTGTGAAGCGTATTTAACAATGTACAAAAAAACAAACAAACAAGCTTCCTATTTAAAATTTTGTAACTCCAGAATCATCCCTTTTTTTTTCTACTTAATAAGAGAGTAGCATGAGAGCAACAATGCACGCAGAGACGCCAACCAGTGGATGCACACAATGCTGTAAGAGCTGGATGTCTTCGGATAAGCGCATGTTTCCCCACACGACATGCTGCCCCACATTTGGTCTCATCTGGGTTATATGTGTTTAAATACCGGCCATAACCCGCTCTGGGAGGACAGTGAATTAAACACATTAATCCGCATCCTCGCTGTTAAAAGAACACAAAGTAGTAAAGCTACATAAGCCGTGTTAGAGCGTAAAGTCCTTCATTGGTTTCAGTTCTCCCCTTGCTTTATTTATGATGTAGTCATAATATCGTCAGGTGACTATTGACCCCCTCACTGGACCCTCGTACTATTGACTGCGTGTAATTTCAGGGATGTGCCCAGGATTATGCAGATTAGTGTGCAGCTGCAGTGTTTGCAAGTGGTTAAGATAAAAATGCCTCCTGTGTGAAAAACAAGAAAGAAAGAAAAAAAAAAAGAAGCAGAAGGACATGGCATGTGCGTGCTATCGACAAAGTCTTTTTGGAACAGAGTTGATTTTGTTGGCTGGTGAGGGATGTTTGCAATTAGGAAGGATGTTGGCTCAAATGCGAGCGCTTCCTGAATCAGGTGGTCCGTACAGTACACAGTGCAAGGCGAACTACGTTCCCTGGAAAACATGTGTTCATGCTTTGCATCGCCGTCTGTATCGGGCATTTGCATTTATGTCATTTGATATATGGAAGCCACTTCCCCACATGACAGAAACATGTGTGTGATCGCTCCCAGGATGGATGGAACATGACAGATGTGCACGGTCATATGAAAATATCCAAGTCTGTCTTTACATATGCCGCCAAACAGCTAAAGACGACCCCAATGTTGGAAAATTTAGGATTTGACATTTTAGGAGAATATGGATGATACTGTGATTACTCGATTTACATGTCCTACGGGAAAATCTTGTTCCAAAAATCAGAAAAGTTGATATTCTTGTTTGATGGTTTCTGCTACATCAGAAATATAAAAAAACAGGCTCACATATTGTCAAGCTTTCCAAGTTGGTGCATCTATGCTCGGTTCACACCAGCATCTGAAAGGTTGCACTTCTGTGTTGACTTCTCTGGAATCCCCCCCACCTGTAGAAAGGATTGTTAGCATTATTTTAACCCGACAAGCTCATAAATCTTTGAGGGAAAAGGGTAAAATCATATTTTTTTTAAAAAAATGCTTTATCGGGGTTTCTGCGGGTAGCACCAAATCAATTGAAATACTTTTTAAAGCTGTTTTTATTGCAACTTAAAAGAAATGTAATGCCTACATCCAATTGCATTAATCATAATTATTCGCATGATTTCCACAGTTGTCACTTATCACACATTTGACATTTGTTCTAATTGTACAATAATATACGTTTCAAGTTTTTCACACTCTTGTTACTTAACATAAACTTGGATGACTATGCTTACCTCATACCAATATGGGTGTGTTTTAGTTCATTGATACAGCAATGTTACAGCAATTTATAATGTTATTTGACGTTAAAATGAGTACAGAGTTAAAAGGAGTGTAAAACATTGAGTCAGATTTAAGTTTAAGTCATTTTACTGCCACGAGGCAGCATTAGCGTTTCATGTTGGAAGTTGGTGACAGGAAGAGAACATTTTATTTTTTAATTAAGAGCAAATTAATTGGAACATGAGGGAACTCGTGGAATCCTGTCCATTTTTGCTCATTGTTAATTACAACAAAGATGATGATGTACTTATGGGCCAGCAAGCCCACAGCTGGTCCTGTGTGGTGAATTTGAAATCTGAGTGGTTAAAGAAAGAGTTCCATTGCTAATATATTTTATGTTGGATTGAGTAGAACGACTGCGTGTTTAAACATTGCAAAAGATTAGACTAACATGGTAGAACATTGATGCTGAAATCTGATGTGTGGAGAAAAAAAAAATCTATCATCCCCAAGCAGTCCATTTAGGAGAAATTCCACGACATGAAGAGAATAGACCGTTGGGAATAAATGAAAACAATTTCATCGAAGAAATATAAAAATATAGGTTATGAATGTAGGTCAGTGCTTCTGGTAGCGTTTAGGCGAGCAGAGAAGGCCTTAACTTTCCCTGACTGCATACCACTGCAACCAAGTATATATGTGCATGCAGTCTATCATTATATTTCTGCGGCCCTGTCATTCCTCATACTCGTAGGTTTAAGTACAGTGGGGAACTTCAAAAGAGATTGTTCTTCATTTTACACCAACAACTGCATTACCAAACGCTGCATTAATACAGTTGCAGATTCAGACGCCCTTGTGGTTTTATAGCGCACAAAAAGCCAGTTTTATCATGCCACAACTTGCTCCGTACGGCATCGCGTCTGTATGAGAGGAAAAATGCCACATTGGCTGTGCTCAGCGACCTGACTCGCTCTTGTGTGTGAATGCGGAGGAGCACGAAGGAAGGAGGGGGAGGCGGGACCTCGCAGCCGAGGAAGGGCGTTCTCTTTGCGGTCAAAGCGGGTAGAGCCATCCCGAGGGGTGGGTCTTGCTCCGGCAACAGGAGGAGAAAAAAAAAAGGAAAACCCACCTTTTTCATTGTTGGGGACGCGGTGGAATGTGATGGTTTGATCTCGAACGGACTCGGGAAGAGGATATCCGAGAGAAAAGGGCCGATTAGAGGGTGAAGGGAAAGGTGGAAGAGGTTCCGCCGGGCTCCGAGAGACTGGGATGAACTTGTCGTGTCCTCCACGGCCGCAGTGAGGGAGACCGGAGCCGCGTGAGCAACACTCCAGCCGCCGGTGGCAGCTTTTTTGGATTTATTGCTCTCTCTTCCCGACTTGACGACGGAGCTCATTTTGAGGTACAGTCTTGTTCCGTTTTCAGTAAGTTATCTTCACGTTTAGGTGGCCGGACATTAGCGAACGAGCCGGAGGGTACAAGTGTTCAACTGCGGCAAGTTTCACCCCCACCACCCCCTCCTACCCTCTTTCTCCCTCCTGCTCTTCCTCCACTCGCTTTTAGCCAAACATCGAACAGCTCAGGTGCTTTAATGTAGCTTCGACGCGTAGTCAAATGTCACCACACGGCAATTTTAACCCACATTCGGCGGCGTGTTTGTCTTTTATTTGTGCTTTTTAATACGGACTCACCGGGCCAGTATGACGACAGGTTTCTCGGTTGAAGTTGAGAACCTCCGCGAACATGAACATGCCAAAACTGTCTCTAGCCACTGCCAAATAACACCCACGAGCGTTTTGTCTTGTTCTAACGGCTCAAACGTTTTTACTAACCATTTGCTTTTTTTCCTTTACGAAATAAGTGCAAATTGGTGTGGTTGACACACAGTAAGCAAGCCACTGGGAGACTTTGTACCCGGGCCAAGTGTTTGTTTGGGCTTGTCTTCCTTCTGAGACAACGGCACAAAAACTCAGCCAAAATCCCCTTAAAATACGTTTAACTCCCCTAAACGTGTTTAGGTTTTCGTCATTTCTAAAACCACGTTGCTAGAAAGTGCTGGCGGTATTGTACAAATCACAAACACAACAGGAAGCTGCCACGCAGCAGGGCAGCATCATGTTGGACAAGCACAACGCAAAAAACTGAATTCATAAATTGGTTTTCATTCAGACTTGATGTAATATAGCTGTTAGAGACAATATCGTATAGAACCACACTTTTAATTTTCTAGGATCGAATCATATCACAGGTTGTCTCAATGTACATTTTGTGAGGCTTCAGACATAAAATCTACCAGAACCCGAATTAACAGCTATTTTGAGACATTCTTAGGAGGAAGAGGTCCCCTTTAAAATTTTGAAAACTTGGACAACACAGAAAATCTTTATGGGTTATGCATCTGCCTCGACTGGTGAGATTGGGTCCTTCAAAATTTGACATTATCTCTGAAGTGATACTGTGATCTTCAAGTTGTTCTAATTTTACATTCTCTCGTTCCTTCGTGTCTTACAAGTATAATGAGAAATTTGACCAGACACCAGTTGAGAATACAGTTACAGTGGTACTGTACCTCGACTCACGATTGAGCCGATTTACAAGATTTTTTTTGGAGATAAGAGCATATGCTTTGCTGTTTTTTGTTTGCTTTTTTTTTTTTGCTTGGAAACTGAAATTTGAGCAAACTCACTTCACATCAAAACAATCAGCAGTTAGTCAGAATGTAAACAATTTTTCAAAACAAGAGGCTTCATGTTGTTTATTGCCACTCCCAGTTAAAGATTACCATCAAACTAAACATAAAACAAAGATAATTAACATTGCGTATTCAAAACAACCACATAACTTTGCTTGAGCGTAGTCCACTAGCTTAATGCTAATATACCGTGGAAAACACCATAGACGATCTCAGGATTAGCATCAATGTCACTGTGTTATAACGCTTTAAACAGCTGACACAAACAGATAATATAACGATACTCGCAGGTATGTTTTCTTTATCCTCTGCATAAATCAACTAATGTTACTGCAGCTACGCGGCACGGCGGTTGAGTGGTTAGCACGTCCGTCTCACAGTGCAGAGGTACAGGGTTCGATTATGGCTCCGTCCTTCCTGTGTGGAGTTTGCATGTTCTCCCCGTGCCTGCGTGGGGTTTTCTCCGGTTACTCCGGTTTCCTTCCACAGTCCAAAAACATGCGTGGCAGCTTCATGTAACACTCTTAAATTGTCTCAAAATGTGATTGTGAGCCTGAATGGTTGTTCGTCTATGTGTGCCCTGTGATTGACTGGCAACCAGTTCAGGGTGTTCCACGCCTACTGCCCGAAGACAGCTGGGATCGGCTCCAGCATGAACGCGACCCTCGTTCAGATTAGCGATTTGGGATAATGAATGGATGGATGGATGGGTGGATGGATGGATTACAGCAGCTTCCTGAGTCAGTCTTAAAAGTCGTCTTGTGTATGGTTTTATTATACTGTCCCCTGGTGGCACCAGAATGAGAACAACGTGGGGCTGGAACAAATTAATGGGATTTGCATGAATTTTAATTAGGAAAGATGATTTGAAATGTGATTGTTTTGGTTTACGAGCATTGTCATGGAATAAATCAAACACAAAGCACCACTATTGTCATTTTGAAGACCCCTGACAGACACGTAATGGGGAGGGAAGGGAAAGGTGTTTGCAGTTTTACTGTCACTTATTGGTGTTTGATCGCTCTCGGAAGAAAAAAAATAAAGCTTTGTGATAAGCCATTCCTTGTATTGCTCGTGTTGTTTTGGTCAGCCAGTCAGACCCATTCCTATGTCACAGTATGTAAAATGGGACAAAGGGAACATGAGTAGGCACTGTTGATTGAACAATATCAATTATTTTTTTCTATCTAAAGAAAACCAACATGACCCTTTTAGTTTTGGAAAGTGAAACTAGAGCCACACACAATTTATCCGGCCAATATGAATCTGCTTGTTCAATACAACACAACCAGTGAAACAGGAGTTCAGAACATTTCAAGAGCGATTCTCCCATTACATATAAAATCATGTATTGGTTAGTTTTGATTAGTGAGGCAATTTGGTTCTTATTTTCAGCACAAAGTTGATCAAGATCGTGTTTAGTGACTATCAAAAAACAATGAAGAATCAGTTGTGATCAGTTTGCAGCCCTACTAGGACTGTTTTAAATCTGTTGGCTGTTTTTTTTTTTTTTTTTTTTTAATTTGCTTGAACACACACCCACACACGCAGACGGACACACATGTTTGTGTTCATTGCATGTGTTGCACTGTAGCGCATGCCCTGATCCGAGGTGACTAAAGGCAAAACAGTAAAGTGTGTGTCCTGTGCTACCAATGGACGAGTGTGTCAACAGTAGAATAGGTAGTTGTCCTTGCTGGAAGAATAATCTGCCAGGTGGGGCTCATAAAAAAAAAAAAAAAAGGCAGCACAGGGAGTGACTGAGGTGGTGGGAACCTGCCTTGACCTGTTTGCAGCATGAAGGTGAGCAAGAAGAAGAAAAAAACATTAGTTGTGAACTTTCTGGAAAGGCAGCTGTTGATCACACCTTATGAGCCACTGCTTAGAAAGCCCTGAAAATCCGTACTTGAGTGTTGATATATTTGCACTTGTGTGCGTGCGAAAAGGGTTTTTTGATTGCTTGCTACCTGGGATGGTTAATGACGTGGTGGAAGGTTTTGAAGTTAAAGATGTAACATAAGACAAGTAAAAATCCTTGGCAAAATGGTCCATGTTTCTACAGTCTTAGGAATTTGTGTTCCAACTCTCTGTGATTTCAGGGCTTATTTGGAAACGATACCTTCTAATGAACAGTTGCCTCTCTTCTAATGAACAGTTGCCTCTCTTCAACTTTTTCAAATTACAATGACCTCGGTGACTGGAAAATCTTCACACCCATCTCAGAACATCCCTTCACACAGACTGCATCCTGCCTCTCTTATGGCTCTGATACTATCAATACATTTCCTGGTTGACTTGCCCCCTCCCCCGCCCCATTCTGTCTCAGTGCATTCACCCTCAAACCGTCCGTCATCGGAAATGAATGTTTGGTTGAATTCTGAACCGTCTGTTTTCTAGAGGCTTTGGACTTTGGAGATTCAGTAGCTGTAGATGCCTCAAATGACCTTGTTCTCTTGATGTTTGATCAAGACGACAAATAGTTTGGACCACATCCTGTTTCAGGAGTTGTCGTTTTCCTTGCAATGTCATAATCATACCTCTCTATCCTCTTTACTGGCCTAAACTGTTGCTTGCGTGATTGGTTTTCCACGACCGCCTCACGAAACTAACATGCCCTTTCCCTGGTGAAACCAAAAACTAATCATTACGGGTGTTCAATAAGGGTAATCATCAGACTAGGCTCTCGACCTAAGGGATTACGGAGTGGCGAAATGACCATTCCTCTGGCTTAAATAAAAAGTATTGAGGCTTTCTGCCTGGGAGAATAAAATGTCCAACCCAGCTTTTCAGTGGTAGCGTTACCGCCAGTCCGCGCACATCAAGGTTTATTCAAAGTGCCCCTGCTGTTTGTGGAGCATGGTCACATTAGTGTGGAATTACAGATGACGTCAAGTGTTGCAAGTGTGTTAAAACAGCTAGGAAAGATTTATACTTTTTTTTTTTTTTTGTTAGTTTTAGCTGAAACCGAAACGGAAATTATTATGGCGAGACTGGTGATGCTAACCAATAAAACAAACACAAGTGTCAGAGTAAGGGGGTTTGTTCCGTAATAGAATGTGCAAAGGTCAGTATATTCTCGACGCACAAGCAGTGTAACCGCGACATTAAATGTACTAAATAGCGCATGGAGAATTAGAACCGGATGACATTGATTATATTTAGTGGTGGACCCGCTTTAAGGCCTGCAAAACCTTCTCACCCAGGAATAGAGCGTCACTGTACATTGAGTGGTATTTTGCGCATTACAAAAAGAGCTGCCTCTTGAAATAGCACCCATGAATCATGGGCTCTCAGAGGAAGCTCGTAATAAAGCCCACGACTGTGTGTCCTTTTTCCAAATGTGTGTTTTGTGATAATGCCGTAATGGGCTCAGCATCCGGGACAGAGGCCACTGTTGACAATGCGCAGGACAGCTGGAGTCCTTGTCCATTAGCAGACCTGCCGGAAGATAACATTTATTTGGACGTCCAGCTTCACAGAGTTACATTTTTATTTTCTCTGATATTCTGAC